TTAATTTGTAAAATTTCGCCTATTAAATCATTTCTTTTTGTATCATAATTTTTTACAAATTTTTCTTTTAAAGTTTGTCTACATGATAAAATAAATTGAGGATTCAACTTATTAACAAACAATTTGAATTCAATATTTTCAATAATAGAAAAAGGTTGTAAATCAGTTGCAATAAAATTAATCAATGAATTTGTGATGGAGTTGAATTGTGATAAAGAATAGGATTTGAAGCGCATTTAATTCAAAGTAATTTGATGATTTTCAGTTTTTTTATAATGAAATGAATGTTTTTTAGTTAAATATTTTCAAAAGGATGGTTGTTAGATTGCCAGATGAATAAATTTTAGTACATAATATACATTTATAACTTGTTGTTAGTCCAATTTCTTCATCTTGGACTTTAAAAAAAATTCTCATACATCTGACTTGCGAGTTGTTATATTGGAATCTTCTTCAGTTGCTAAAGGAATTGAAGAAATATCTGAGAAATTATTGTCATTTTCATTTGAAATTACGCCAAACATTGTATAATACAAATAATAATATAAAATGAAAATTATTCTAGTTAAAATGATCAATGCGTCTTATAATTTATGTGATACAGCATTTATATAAATTGATCGTCTAAACTAATCTAAATACTGGTTTGACTCAGTTCAATTTCAGTTCGATTTGATCCTTAAATCGAACTGAAACTGGTTCTATGATCAAACCAGAGTCAGACCGGTCTGGTCACAGATCTTAACATCCTTAGTGTATTGTGTGTAAACTTTTTTGGTACTATTTTATGAACTGCTGACTTATGCCTTTTTTTATTCCTTATTTATTCCTTTTTTTAGACATGGACAAGAAACGTTAAGAGATTCAACTAAAGATGAGCACTGCAATTAAAAAAATGACGCAATTGAGTTATAATTAAGGTGCAATTCAATTGAAATTATGGGAAATATCTTTAGATTCGACAAGTGGATGAGATAATGAGTGAAACAACAGAAGAATATTATTGTCTAGAGGATAATAATTGGCAATACCAGTACAATGCAATTCAGGTATCAACTGACCCATAAACGGAAATATCAATGGCAGAATTTTTACTAGATTATCAGAAAGTAAAGAATGGCATTTTTTGCTAGAAGTTAATATCACAAATTGAATGCAGCTAAGAAATTTCTTGAAGCTGAGCGATATCTTATTCAAGCATACAAGGTCCTTTTGGATTTATCTATTTCTAATATCATTTGAAGAAAATTAAAATTTATTTTTTATGATAATTAACTTATTTCACGTTCCTAAATAATAATTTAGCAAATTCAAAACCAAAAAATACATATCCTAATAACTTTATTTTACATATTTATATTCAATATTTTTTACTAGCACTTCTTTATATATAGTATTATTGTAAAGCCACCCCACTTCTTCTTACCTTGAAATCAGAGTTTAGGAGGAGTGAACTCTTAGTTTAGTAGTAACCTTAGCTCTTAGTTATAGTATGGTGAACTCTTAGTTTGAAACTCCCTTGTTTTATTTTAATTCGAGATTCTTTGATATAAAATGATTTGCTAATGCAGATTCTGTTTTACCAAGGACTGGATTGCCCTTGTAAAAAAATTACATAAATTAAATTAAACAACAGATTAATGTAATCAAAAATTTTACAGATCAGGTTAATGTATTACAAAAATAATTTGTTGATGATAGCTGAAAACATGTTCATGATCAAACGAACTTGAAGTGAGTAGAGGTGAAGATATGACAGATATTTTTGTTTTATTCAAATCAGATCATAAGAAGCATATTTAACAAATATTATTTGTAAACCAATTTCATCTGTCTAAGCCATTAAAAAGTCTACATTCAACAAAAAAAATTCTGTGAAGAAATTCGTTTTAAAATTCGTTTTGAATTTTATGATATAATAAATATTAAATATGAACTTAAAGAATTATTAACTAATACACTATCATAATTTGTAATATGGGGTTTTTGCTAGGAAAATGACCCTCTAAGATAAATTTCAGTTTTTGAGTAAATAACAATTGAAAGTTTTGAATAAATCAACTCGAAAATTGAGACTAATAATATTTGTTTCTATTTTTATCTGTGATGATCGACATTATGTGATAATAATTATAATGCTGGCTA